TAGTTGGTTCTTTATTATGAGATATGAATCATAAATCTCAGATGACAAAAATTACAGCCAGGGATGCCAGTAACCAAATGTGGCGCTCTATCACGGCCGGCAGTTCTCTCCATGCCTAAAAGGGGAATTGCTTTTTTTTCTTTTTTAATCTGAAGATGCTCTAAGATTGGATGTTTGCTCTCGTAAATTGCCTAATGAAGCCCGGATTCCACATACCGAGCAAGCTGACCTTGGGAATGACGAGCGGGGAGGTTGTAATTAGAGCGGAGCCTCACTCCGGAATGTTCCGTCAGGGCCGCACAGTCCTGTTTGATCTTCCGTCTCTCTGCGACGTTCCTGCTCGGTGCTTGCGAGCCTGGGGCCCAGGAATGGATGCATTGGATCTGCTGTCAGATCTGCTGCGACCGCGCTCATTACCGCTCGCAAGCACAGAGCGCACACGGCCTATGGCGGAGAATCACAGATATGCAGGAACTACTAATAAATTAAAAAAAACTGTGTTTCTGGCAAGAAATCTCTCATGGGGTGGAGAGAGGAGAGACTGGGCGTGAGCACTGTGTGGTCAAGCAAAAAACAAAAACCGTAATGACTGCAGTAGACGGGAAACTAAATAACAGGTAGTATTTCCAAATGTCGGCTGAATGAAAACACGATGAGCGTGACTGGAAATAATAGGCATCTGGTCCAGCTGCATCCCACTGTCCTGGGCAGCTTTCATGGCTCCCTCCCCAGCCAATTCAAACCCCCCCCCCAACACCGCTCATGTCCATATAACCAGTGGACTGAAGGGGGTTTACTTGAAATCGCTTCAATCTGCAGAAAGCAAGCCTATGTAAGCACTGTGCAGGCCAGGCTCTGGATGCCATAACCCACATTCAGCGCTTTCTGTGTCCTACAGGATTGTGGACAACCATTCTGGGGGGGGCGGGGTTGATGTCTGTCTGCTCATTGTGCTGTGCTGTATTTTTTTTTTTTTTTGGGTTATCAAACATCCAGCAAAAGCTCTATTTGTTTACTGCTATAAAACGTGGAGTAGCAGGAGAATAAAGAAGGACTTAATTTGTCCCAGGGTGCACCCCGTCATCCACTTCCGGGAGAGGGGGGGGAGACTTCTGAAGACTGAGGAGGAAGCCTGGTCTGTTTTATCACATAGTAATTAAGACACTGAATTTCGTTGCCAACTAGTTGCGGGTGAATATAGCGATAAACTGCGTCCGTGCTTAAAAAATGCTGGTATACATGAAAACTTAAAAAATGCATCATAAATAATGAGATATACCGATAAAACTAGATTTTATACTATTATTTAAAGGTATAAGGTGCTCTTCTGGTTCACGATCAACAAGTAAACAGACGAGGGAGCCTTCGCCTTCAATGTGGGGGCAAGGCGTCAGAGCCCGTCCTGCGGCCACGTGTCCCTGGCGGGTACAGCTCCGCGGGAGCGCGCCATCTGCTTCCTTATCGCGAGCACAAGGGTGAATGTTCTATGGGGCAAAAACGGGATCGCGACATTTGCGGTGCTGCGACGCCTCACCTTCCAGCCGGGGGTAAATAGGCATGTCGCTTAGAAAATCCCAATTTTCTAGACTATTATTATTGACACTAATAATAATAATATTTCAGAATGCTTTGAAACATTTTTCAACAGATCACTGTGTGAACAAACAGTGTTTACGTCTCCTCAAAATATTTTTATATTATATAAGTTACACCACCACATGATATTGCGATGGGTAGAAGCGCGCTGTCCCTCCAGAGAGGGTCACTTACTGGCCACATGGGTCTACGTCACTCTCCTACTTGATCCATGTTCCCGCTGGTTATTTATATAAACATGTATCTTTGTCTTTAACAAGCCAGGACGGGAACGGCGTGTATATCCGACCCGATCACTGGTTCCGTGAGTAACGCTGGTCCCCCCACCTCCAACCATAATCTCTGACGTTTGTTTTCTCTCCTTTGCTTATGTACTGTACGTCATCTTCCGTTGTTCCTGAAACGTGGAAATATACCTTGAATAAAGCTTCGGTTCTTTCCCCTAGTTTCTCCATACGAACCGCATCGGCTTCTCCCTCAACAAATAAAGTTAAAACCAGATACCAGGATGGGGTTAACTATTTTTAAAGCTTTACTCGTGTATAAATTAAAGTAGCCTGATTATAGAAATGCAAGATTGGTGCATATTTATTGTTAATTTTAACCATTATTTCAATGATAAAATCGCGTAAGGGAACATATATCTGGTTAAAAAGACAGCGAGAGAGAGAAAGATGAAAGAATGAATTCCCCAAAGCTGGTGAGCTGTACACATTCATGCACTTAATTGCTCCTGGAATAATAGGTTTCATAGGTCTACATTTTTTTCACAGTAACCAATATCAGTTATAACCAGATATTTGTTATTACCGCCATTGTCTTGAAGTTTCGTTATCAATCTATGCCCATTGTACTTATTTTTTGTAAATTTGAACAAGATCCCTAAACCAAGTGCAATTCTAGATTTTGTAACGATTACTAAATCAGATCGTTCGGCATGTAGTCTGTTTCTAGATCCCCAGATTTTGAACAAAAGTGGAAATTTGGCGGTCTCTGCTTCCCACATTTAACCAAATAAACGCGCAGTAGGGCCTAACGAGATAACGGAAAGAAGAAAACGCAAGCAAAAGAAATCCTTAATATTTATGTCATGAAATCAGGTTGCTGAATGCGATTTGGGCTACTGCTTCCACACTTAGTGGAAGTTTAAATGAGGGGGAAAATCAGCAGGAACTGGTAACAATATCATTTGTTTTGTATATAAAAAAAAACTTTAAACCAGCTGCTAGTATTTTAACTGTTATACTGTTATAAAAGATTTTGACTAGCAAATTTAAACAAATGTAACTTTTTCATTGGCCTTTTTTCAGTCCATGCATCAAATCAAAGCACGCAGTTTATGCAAATCTAAAAACGTTATCATAATTGCATATCTTCGATACTTGACTGTTTTACGTACAAAAACCGAACCATCCAGTTCATGCCAAGCAGAAGAAACAATTGAAACAATTCAAATGATCATTAATGGAAGATGCAAATTAGTCTCCACTACGTATTTCAGTCTCTTTCCTAATGCCTAATCCATCCTCGTCTCTAAACTGACGATCCAGTGCATAACTGTGTAGCGTGTGGGACTCCTTACAGTAGGCAGTTATCAGGGCTGTGGACTGACCTGGCATTACACTCAAAGCCCCTGTGAGACCTTCTCTGCAGGGGACAGACATCATGCCATGAGGAAAACGGGCCCATGTGTGTTTGTAGGAAGACATCCAGCCTGCTGCTCTCTTCTTGGATCATAAGGTGTCATGTCTATAAGCAATGCTGGTCATTACCTGCGTGCAGCCTATGCAATATATATATGACGATCTCAGAGGGCTCCTTACATGTAAGACTTGATCAAAACTCCCAGATATGTCTAAGCCAAAAGGTGGAACGTGCTTCCTTAAGATGGACTATCTAGGCCCCCGAAGGGGGGGGGGCAAAGGGGTGGATTAACTTCAGGGGCCCTAGGCTGACATGGGTAGAGGGCATTTTGAAATATTTTTGGAGCTGAAGGGGAACTTAGAACTTAGAATTAAAAATGGTGGAACATCAATAATATGCTAATCAGAGGGCAGGGTGCCAGCAGTAACACATACTGATCAGGGTGGGGGCGGGAGTGCTGTTGGGAAAATTCACTGATTTGGTGGTAGGGGGGTGTGGGGGGGCGGTACCACACCAGTGGATCCATCAGCCGAATTAAAAAATAAAGGTCAAGATCAACAGGGGCAGGGGGGCGCCCTAGAGTGCAGGACCCAGCGTTGGGCGGGGGGGGCGATATGTGAATGTTAGAGGGGACACTCTGCTAAGTTTGTGCCCCATTAGAAGATGATGCCTAGACAGCCGCCTATGTCACCAGTAGGGTTCACCACTGTCATATGAAGCACTCAGCTCACCATAACACCATTGCCCAGTTACTGTCCTCTTAATGGTTACCTAGGGTCACTAGTAGATGTCATACACCCTGGGAGGTACTGCTATCCCAGTAGGACTTCCCAGTAGCTTTGGGACAGATTAATTGGTACTCCTCAGAACAACCAGATAAATTCATTTGGGTCATTGTGTTGATCTAGCAGTATGTTTATTAGTAATGTTGACCAACTGATATGTGGAAAAAAAACCCATATTGCTATGTAGTTTATCATCCCTTAGGGAATGGTTACGGTATTTGTTTGTGAAGAAATTAGAACCACAAATAAAAACGAGACTGAAAATGTAGAATGGTGAAACTTGAGAATCGTTTTCAAAACTGTTGTGTGTCTGCAAAATGTCCTTTTAAATGTCACTTTATATTTTTGCAGAGAAAGCAGAACCAACAGCATGCAGGGAATGTGACACAGCAAGAATTTTGGGCAGACCAGGACAACACGATGAACAATATTCACTCACCTGTGAATCCAAAAGTACAGAGCCTGTTGATTTATCTAGCACAAATGGGCTTTTTTTGTTTGTTTATTTTTAAATGGCAAGTTGCCCACACACGACGAGGAATTTTTCCAGAGAAATAAACCAAATTTAAATCTGAATGCAGTTAATTATTCTAAGGGGCCTCATAAGTGATATTAGATTTGTTGCGCTTCATTTCACTGTTTCGCGTGAGGAACACTAGGACTTTTTCATCGGTGAAATGGTGTCATGTTTCTGTTTCATGCTCCTGAAAACTTTCCACCAACACAACCTGAAGGAGTACAAGCGCAATAAACAAGTTTGTTATTAAGCACCAGAGGCCCCCCCCAACACATCACTTGGGTTCCTGTGCACCTGGGTACCTCTCTGCTCCCGGGCGGTAATATCCATCCGCCAGTCAAAGGATGTGTCTCATCTCTGCTATACTGGAGAGAAACAAACGTTTGCCGATGAAAGGGAGAAAAAAACAGATGCGTGAGAAGGAAAGAGACGATAGGTCGGCCAGTATGAATCGGGACTCCCACTTACACCTGCATAATGCTTTTAACACGATGTGTCGGGAGCGCTCCATGTTTCACCGCGGCCCCAGTGTGTGATTGAACCCCCCCCCCACTGCCATTCATTCTTTCTTCTCCCAGTTGAACGGCAGATAGGGACAACGGCGGAGGACAGGAGCGGGCAAGCAGCGCAGCCGCCACCCTCCGCTTCGACGCGGCCCCGCTCTTTCTTTTCCGTGCTTTTGCATCGCTTTGCCGGGTTTTCTTTAGCTTCTTGGATTTATAAATGTTTCGTGACGGGCGGTGCTGCATGGGCAGCGCGAAAAAGACGGCGGCAACCCTACGGATTTAATGGGAAATAACGCTTAGCGGGGGCTCCTTTCAAAATTACATCACCCGGCTATGTGTTTCAATATCTAGTCAGGTCACCCAAGAAATAACATATAGGCTGCGCACATTTACAATCCTTCATCTTTTGGGTTATCAGCTAGCGGGAAAAGATCGACAATACCTGGTAAGATTTATTTCTTAAAATAAATTTTATTCATTTCCTTTGCAAAACGAGGAGACTTTAATGCAACCGATCCTGGTGCATCTGGAAAAAATGTGTTTGATACGGTGCGTTTCAGGAAGGAGCTCCGCTTGCTGGCGTCTGGGCTGAATGTGTAATATTGCATTTTCTATATCCTCGTTCTCCTTGTCGAGTGCATCACTAAAAACACATTTTCCCGTGCTCCCCTTTTCCCCTCTCGCTACCTGTCCGCTTCTGTGTACATTTAGATTAAATCGAGAAAGCTGGGCACCCCTGCGATTTTGCACAGGCGTTTCGGGGTCCGGTACATTTTGTCTTAGTGGCTTTTGCGCCTCACGATGCAGCCCGAAATGCCCAGCCGGTCTGACGCTGTCGTCGCCTTCGGATTAAAAACAATGCAGGCAGTTTTGCAACTCGATGAAAAAGCAATCTAATTAAATCCGAATTCCCTTTCTCTGTAAGTAATCTGTCAGCGATGAATTGTATTTTTCTGTGCACACAGGTTAGCATAGCACGGGCAAACAAGCAGAGACTGCATACATTTTATTATTATTTCCTAATAATCTGTGCAGATAATTAAGCACTCGTCTTTTTGGTCGAAAATAAAGGATTTTATTTGAGTGAGAGATCTGTAGTAGGCTATATAATGCTTGTATTTATACCGTTTTTGCTTTATCAGTAGGGATGACTTTCGGCTATTCTGAGTTTCGGCTATTCTGGCATTGATCTGAATTCTGTCATGCCCAGAAAAGCGATCAGATTGGATTTACATTAAATTCTGGTGGTTCTCCGTGGCACTTTGTCGAAGGAGTGGTAGACGCTGGCCATGCCAGTCCTACAACAAAGGGGGGGTATTAAATATTTCCTATATTTTAACATATCCACTCCCCTTTATCCCTCCCCTTATTCCTGAAGTGGCGAACAAAGCTATTTGTTGCATTAACATCTTGCACGTTAAGAGAGATATATGTTTAAGGTGTTTATTTTGAATGAAAGACTTCGTTGTTTTATGTTTTGAAAACATCTTTTGATTTGTAGTGATGTCCTTTATTGCTGAGCGTGTTATTTGGGCGGCTTTGTTAGGGGACTCAGACGCACCGGCGTCACAAGCCCCCCTGCCGGGGCCCCTCCCTCGCTGCCGCTATTTTCTCCTCCCTATTTCCAAACAGGTGTATCCCAAATTACGGGGGACCGAACTCTTTATTTTAATCAGATTTTAAACTTTTTAGAGCTTCATTGTAATAACACCAAAAATAAATCATAGCCGTTTATGTTTTTTCCCCCGACTTTTTAGGTAGTCCCCTGTGAGATTGGGGGTCACTCAGGGCACCCCGCTGTTTTTTTGACCAGCGATTAGAAAGTAATTGCAGGTTTTAAATTCGGTTAGGTTTTGTGATCATCTTCTATTCCGTGTAGACTTTTTAAACAATAACATGCGAATCTCAGAGGATTCTTCATATATAAGACTCGATCAGAAGTCCCAGATACGTCTAAGAGAAAAGGTGGAACGCGCTTTCTTATGGACTATCCAGGCATATTTAGCTACTGCTATTGTAGGTCAGGTGAACCCTTTAGGCAAGTATCGACACTTCCACGTCATTTTAGAGAGATGCCCTTTAGTCTTTTAACGGAGGCTGAGTAAAGAGAGAGCAGCCAATTGTAACCCTGTTAAGCGTCCTGCCGCGGTCTGAATCACTACGCACTCCGTACTCCCTCCTTATTTATTTAATTTATTTCTTATTCTTTACACATTGCTGTCAGCTAGGGATGCTAGATGGAATCTAGTCATTAGTGTCCTGTCTTGTTTTTTTTCCTGCACACCTGTCTGTTTTGGTGGGGCAAAACATGTTCTGTTGATAGATGTTGATCTAAATCGTACCTGCTCGTGTTTCCTTGTTCCTGTTGCGTACGCCACGTTTCATGACATCTCAGTAATAATTGCCTTTTAAAATTCTCTAACGCTGTATAGAGATCCCGGAAGAGTCTTCGTTTAGCACAGATATGTGGCATGTAATTAATTTAACAGCTTTCTTTAAATGCCTCTATCTACATGCACATGCGGGACCTGAACACTGACATCAATAGCACCTATTAAGAAATCGATATTCGGCATTGTGTTCCATCTGATTAGTTCCTCACAGGGCAGATTAAATATTTAATAGTTTTATAAAGTGATTTGTGAATTTCCAACACTGTGTTTTTCCAATGGAAAATGTTTTGGTGTGTGTTTGTGGGTGTAGAAGCATTAATGAGAAGCATTATCCATCTGATACTGGGACATCTGTATCTACCAGGCCCCTCTGGGACTCATAATTACTGGATATGTGATGGAGGCTCAAGTCTGTAGATAGACATAAAACAGGCCAGACTGCAACCTGCAATTACACTACTATTCCAGTGTTTCCCAATCCGGTCCCTGGGGACTCACAGCCGGTCCGCGTTTTTGCTCCTTCTGAGCTCCCTGCCAGACAGTCCATGTTTTTTGCTTCACAGTCTGTGAGTCCCAGAGGACTGGATTGGAACACACTGCACTATATGGATATATTACAGATACAGTTTCTCGTTAAGAATGAGAGGTCAGTGTCTGCTCATGTTTGTAGAGCATCTTTGCTTTTAACTGGGGACTTCTCATTGGTTCTGTGTACGGTACTAAGGAACCAGCTTGTACCTGATCCAGGGAGGCGTAAGGGGGGGGGGCATGGTAGGATGATTCTAAGGACACCTCTGAGACCTTAAAAAATTTGGAACATATTTAGACTGGTTTGGGTTGGGGGCTGAATATCATATGCTTTTCTGGGGCCCGAAATCTCGAGCAGCACCCCTGTAACTGATCAAGACCTTGCTCTAAACTCAGGTTCGAGGTCCTTGGTTCTGGATTCAGTCTTAGAATGAATCCTGTGTTTTTGTGTTATGTTTGGTGTTGATTGACACAGAAGGCGGAAGATTTTCCCGTGAGGTAATTTGCGAACTTATTATCACCCGATGTGTTATATAAAAATGAAAGTGATCGTCGTCGTGTGGCATTGACAGATTCTGTGTCTGTATCCATGCCCTATGTTATGGCTTGCAAATCAGATTAAGAACCTAAACCCAGATATGTAGCACTGGGTAACTATATATACCCACATATACATGCTTGAAATTATATTTTATTACGTTCCACGTTGACAGAATGATGAGGTCACAAATCACCGATATAAAGTACCGAGATGATCGGAGAGGCTTAAACAGCCCCGCGTCCCTGTAGGAGAGACCTCTAAGTGGGCTGATGTGGGCTGAGCGTGTGCCCTGAGCGGCGTGATCCGTGTTCACCTGTGGTGTGCTCCGTCGATGCTAACGTTAGCCACTTCACCATCTCGTGGTCCTGGGGGGGCGGCAGCTTGAAGGCTATCTGAAATTCTGAAGTTCTCCTCCCATCCTCCTCCTGTGCTTTGGAGGGGGGGGTGGGATTGGTTCCAAGTTTACCAGCTTTTTAAAGGTGCTTCTGTAATGAAGTTAGGAGTGGGACACCTCCGCAGATTCTCCTCCCGTCTTTTGGCACCTGAGGGCCCTGCCCCGTAGACCCCCGAGCGAGCAGCCAGAGATGCGTCGCCAGGCCGCGCTCATCACCATTCGATTTCCACCCCCCCCCCTTGCCCTTGAACACAGATTTTCCCCTTTTCACGTAGCGCAGGAAGTCGACGTTAAATATAGCCGCGTCACCTGGCCTAATTAGCCGAGCATATATTCATTCTGCGATCCAATCCGGTTTTTTTTGTTGTTTTTTGCTCCCCTGCAATCTTCCGCTTTGAGGCACGTCCAGGAGACACGTAAACACCGGAGCTGCATGCCTCGGTTTCCGTGACGTCCTCCCGGAAGCCCGTGGGACCGCTTCGAGGAAGCCGATTGGCTGCGGTTGACCTGCTGGCAGAGTGAAAGTCATGGCTGCACCGCAGAGCAGGTGCACGGGTCAAACATGAGGCCTTAAGACCCTGTTATCTTGGACTGCCCTAGGAATAAGGTCCCTTCGGTCCTGTTTAGGGTTAACCGGGGCTAATCTCCTCTATTAGGGCATTTGGGGAAGGTAGAGGGACAGAAGCGGGTAACTGAAATCAGATTAGTGTCTCGGCGCACAGATTTCGGAGGAGGGCGTGTGGCCTGCGGCCGCTGGTGTCCACGGAGACGGGAAGGTCTGAGGGGGCTGATCGCGTCACAGTGCGCCCGGTGGCCAAAAGATGAATAGCAGGTTTATGTGCATTTAATAATCCGTCACTAAGCAAAGCCTGCCGCACACTGCTGAGTATGAATAATGGAGGAGATGGGGGTGCGTAACACCTTTCTTTCACCAGCTGTGTATTATTCCATAAAAATATCCCTCTGATTTCCCTGGTGGGAGAAAATGGGGGGGTTAGGGGTCTCTTAAATAAAGAAAATAATGACTTTACCCTACAACACCTGGGACTTCCAGCCTGGAGGTACAGGCCCAATTTTAAGGGGCTTGTGATGTGAATGTCAAGTTTATTACATAACCGATAATTATAGAAAATATATCAATATCTGATATTAAAACCCCCGTTTATTCCTCGCCTATTGTCTTGGTCCTCAGAACATTAATCGATCAGTGTATTTTAATTAATGTGTCTACTTAGACAAGTTAACAGCTTAAAATGGCTGCTTTATCAATTCATTCTTTCGTATTGCGTGGATAAATGTAATCTTTTCGCTGCAATAATTTCTGCATTGCTATTTAATGGGACGGCTGTTTTAGGTGTGTGCTCCTCTTGTGTTTGCTTGGAAGTAAAAAGCAAGTAAGATTACAGCTGTGATTGTTTGGGAGAATTTATTAGCTTTTTGTACATTGTGTTAGTTTTTCATGCACTTTCGCTCTGCTTATCGAAATAAAAAGTGAGAGGATGATGGTGAAGAGCTGCTCACTGTGTCTGAACTCGCTGCTCCATCTTCTGAATCACAGGTCATTAATATGGATGTTGAGCCATTAGAAT